CATTATTGAAGGTTTGCTGACATATGCAGGTACTGGGTGGGTGGATGGGGTTAGGATACTGGAGGTAAGCCTTATTGAATGAGAAACTAATTTGCTTTTTAAACTTTCACCCAAACCACAATAAAATGTTTAAAAATAAAGCATGAAATGCCTTGGTCCATAGTCCCATTTGGTTTATAGAAACAAGTAATTTAATGGTAAAATATGTTCTGGAGGCAAGAAGCTGCTCTGCAATCCCCAAGGCCACCAGCTGCTCCACTGGAAAACGATGGACAATCTCCACCCATGCTATTAACTGCCTCTGAAAATCCACCCGAGGGTCCACTATGGGCCTGTTCAGACTCTATGGTACACAACAACAACAAAATATATACATTATAACATTTTTAGACTTTGTTGGTTTTTAATCCTAAAAACCAGAGGATTAAATTCCATTAATTGTCTAGATCATTTCCTCATGTCTTTAAAGTTGAGTTGATCATATTTGTCATGCCCCTTCCTGAGATTTCATGAGAATAAAATGAAAAATGTTTGTGAAAATACTACATATATTGTAGTCATCTAATATCTACCTTTTACAGTTGTGTGGCATTTTCAAAGTACCATGTACTTTCTGGTGCTTGAAGTAACTTATTCAACCAACCATTAAAACTATGCTAAAATCCTGCTAGTCTGGAATTCCTGTGACATTATACCCCAAATTATTTATAATACATATATTAATGTCAAAGGAAAAGAACTCATGGAAACAAGTACAGGCTAACTCTGGGGTCTGTAGAGGAACAAGGGCACGGGACTTTATCCTGTTGAAATTTCCTGCTTTCCTCTGGAGGAGTACCAAATTATTCATCAGAAGCTAGTGATGTTTGATTTTTTTAAACTGCAAATGGATTTTAACACATGTCAGTCATTGCGTTGTTTGTTTACTCACCATAGTTTATTCTTATTACCTTTAGGGATTTGTTTTTCTTTTTTGCTTTTTCCTCATGTAGGTGCTTACAGAATGAAATAGAAATATTAGTTAGAGAATAACTAAAATAGATAGTTCCTTTTAAGACTTTTTAAAATGTTTAATCAAGCAGCATTTCAAAAGTGTCTTGCTTTTCCAGGCTCTCAGAACCATGACAGTATGCAAGTTTGATAAATTAAAAGGATACTTTGTTAAAAGATGATAATAAATATGTGTCCAAAGAAGATATGCAATGCTCATACTATGTGCTAAATCATGGATGAACCTTGAAAATACGATGACAATTGAAATAAGCCAGGCGATACAGGAAGTTGTACTATTTATGTGAACTATCTAGAATAAACAAATACATAGAGAAAAAATGTCCTAAGTGGTTAATGGGACCTGGAGGGAGCGGTAATAGAGAGATATTGCTAAATAGGTGTAGAGTTTTTGTTTGTAGTGATAAAGAAGCTTGGAAATCAAGATGATATTTGCAAAATATTTGGAATATAATTAGGGTCAATGTTATGCACTTAAAAATTATAAAAGATAAAATTTAATTTCTAAGTAATTTTCCACAGTAAAAAGAAATCCTCCGTGGAGAGAAGTTTTGCCTTGTTTCACATAAATAATAGTGGATAGATGTATGTGAGCTGGATGATAGGAAAGAGCAAGAGGAGATGGGAGGAATAACGTCAAAGAAAGCTGGTATAATTCAGCACGAAAAGAAATTAAATGACTGATAGAACAGACGGGACCCTAGAGAAGAAAGGGAGAGGGAGTTAAAAGCATGAGGTTATGGGAGGATGTTAGCAGAGATTTTGAAGACTAGCGGACTAGCTGTCCTATGGGGGAGAGATGGTGGCATCAGAGTAGGAAGAAACTATCTTTCAAGTTTCACCCTGCCTTAAGAACATGTCTGCCATCCCAGACACCACACATACACACGGACTTGTTTATAATCTGAATCATTTCCCATACTCTTCTGGACCATTTCTTTTGAATTTTATAACATACTAAGATTGAACCACAAGGGCTTGATTTAACTCCAGTCACCAAAATACTTACAAATACTCAGAGACATTCTCTATTCAGACATTTTCTTTCTTTCTTTTTTAATTATTCAAAAGAACTTTTTTTCTCTCTCTTTCTTACAAGAGAGATGGTTTAAGGAAAATCAATGCCAGTACACAGAGCCTGGGTCTGTTCTCAGGAAGGGGGCAGTGGACACTGTGTTCAGATTTTTTCTGTAGAAATAAGTCAATGACTTTTCTGTTTAGGAATGTTGTTGTTGTGTGGTGACCCTTCAGTGGGATTTTTCAGAGGCAGTAAATCACATGGGAGGAGATTGCCCATCTTTCTCCCATGGAGCAGCTGGTGAATTCAAACTGTATACCTTTAGGTTGGCAGTGCAATTCCTTACCACTAAGCCACCAGACCTCCCTTTAGGAATGAAGAAAAGTCAAGAAGACACATGAAAAGGAAAGATAAAGTTTTTAAGATGCATATTTGAGATTTTTAAACTCCTTGTGAAACATCTAACATTATTTTATTTTTCTTAAACTATTTTAAGAGATCTTTCACAAATCAGAACACTTTTTTTTTTTTGCCAATCTTTTGGCTTTTTTTTTTACATCTGTTTAATATTTATTTAGACAAACTTTTATGAAAGAATTAATACATATTGGCCTGGATTTAAAATTCAATATGAGCTGTAAGTAGGGATAGAAACAGAATATACTTCTATGTAAACCAGTGACTAGCATAGCATTGGAGTTGTAATACTTTAGAATCTGGACTCTGACACTCATCAGTTAAAATATTAAGTACTTTTTTCTGGTGGTTGTTTTTTTCACCTTCTTTAGTCCCATGCCTTCACCTGTAAAATTAAAAAATTAATGTGTATTTTTCAGAGAAGTTGTGAAATTTTGAGAAGAGATCTAGGAGAGTGCTTACCACAACATGAGGTACCATCAAGGGTTCTGTTACCCAGGTACTGTTGTGAATTGTGTCCTTCTTTCTTATTTGAATCCCTACTGTGGAGGACAGAAATTGGCCCCAGTTCTTTGGTAAATAAAGAATACCAAAGAGGAGAGGAGCAAACCATGTATGGAATGCAGAGCAATATTGTTGCTTTTTATTGTTGCTGCTGTTGCTGTCTAGCTGTCCCTGATGGTTGGCGACCCCAGGACAGTGCACTCAGACCCCTTGCAATCAGATCAGTAAGGTTTCCACAGGTCTGTTTTTCCAAAGTAGATTACCAGGCATTTCTTCAGTCAAAGGTCAACGAGAACTATTTAGCATCATAGCAACACTCAAGCCTCTTCAGTGATAGCCTAGGGGTAATGAGGCTGCAGGTTCATTGGCTAAGAATTAAACTCAGGTTTCACACATGCTATTGTTAAGTGCCACTAAGTTGACTATGACTCACAATGAATCTGAACTCAGCTCTATCCTGTGCCATCCTAACCATCTTTGACATATTCGAGCCCACCAATAGTCACTATGACAATCCATCTCACTGAAAGTCTTCCCCTCCTTTTATGACCTGGACACACATACATGATGTCCTTTCCCAAGAACTGCACCCTCCTAACAACATCCTCAAAGTATGTGAGATGAAGTTTCATTATCCTTGCCTCCAAGGAGCATCCTGGCAGTACATTTTTCAAGACAGACTTGTTCTTTTGACAGCCCATGGAATCTCCAATCATTGAGCCACTGCTGCACTCACACCTTTGTTTCCTCTGCAACTTTAAGACCTGGTGTTCAGGAGCTGCTGTGGAGGCTTGAGCCCTTCTTCTAAATGAAAAGAGCCTTTCTGAGGGTGGAGTAGGATGAACTACTGTTAATACCAGGCCGTCCTTGAGAGTTCTACACCAATTACGTGAATTCCAATTTTCAGTTCCTCACTCCTTCCCTCCCTCACAATGTCTTAAGTCTCTTAATAATTAGAACTTCCCTGAGAGTTAAGGAACCTCTTAAACACCTTTCTTACATGAAGCACTTACTTTCTGGTTCCACACATTTCCTTAGTCTTACCACTAGCTTTACGTTGTTGTCTCCTGGCAAGGTCTCTGAGAGCAAAGTCTGGTTCTAATTTCTGTTTAATCATTACAGTAAGCTGTATGTAAACTCCCAGCAATGACTATTTTTTTTTAATTCCACTGAAGCAGGCTTTGGACTGCTGCCTAGACCAAGGCTCTATGCTCAGACCTGTCCTAAGCCCAGAAGATGTTATTCTGATCTCTAAAGATTTAAAATACAAAATTCAACCTCCTAAGGGAGAATAAAGTTTCTAAGCAATAAAAACCTAGACTTCACTGATTAAGACTCATTGCAGGAAATTCCCAGCAATAAATTTAAAAGAACTGACAGAAAGCAGATGACAGGTTTATTTAGAGAGTAAGGATTTGGAAAATGTTAACATCATGATTATGTTTATAACTTGATTATATAACATGATTATATAACTTTCCATATTTAAATTTCTTTTTCTTTTCAAATCATCCAGCTGATATGTAAGTTGTTACATATTACGTATGTTATATAAGGTTCTGATAAGCAGTTCCAACTCACAGCAACGGTTTGTACAACAATATACATCAACTTTTCTTTCATCTGTCTTATTTATTATCAAGTTTATTATATGGAAATTCAGTACCTGTACTAGCTGAACATATTATGAAAGAATTCTAACTCTATAAGCAAACAACTAAAATTCACTTTCATAGTCAAATTAATAGAGCAATAATTTATTTGTCCTAAATATGACTATATTGAATCATCCAGACATGTTAGAATTTTGCCCTAAACTGTAATATTTTTATCATTGTTACTGTAGAGTTGGCTAAAGAGCCTGTTTAAAAAGAAATCTTTTCTAAATATTATTCTGGTTGGTTTAACGGAATTTAGGTAAAATAACATCTCTAAAAAAGTTTGCCAATATAACATAGTGACTGGTTTCTTCACTTGGCATGTATTAAAATAAGAATTACTCCTTCAACATCATCAGTGACTACCTTATTGCTTGGTCTTTTTCATGGCCTCAGACTTGCCTAAAAAACGCTAAAGTATCTCCTCTTGATTTCATGTGACTTTTCACAAATCCCGTTAACTTCCTGAAGCCCTCTGCCAGCCCTTCCCCGGTGATGGCACAGCAAGGCTGCACGTACCAGTTTCTGTCACTACACAGCTGCTTCACTTTGAACAGCCTGGTGATGTCCATAGCAGTCAGAGCCTCAGGCACATCTTGTTTGTTGGCCAACAGGACAACAGGCACATTTTTAATGTGCTCGTTCTTCAGAATGTGCTCAAACTCTCTCCTGGAGTCGTCCAGCCGCCGTTGGTCTGTGCAGTCCACGACATATGCCAAGCCGTCTGCATTCTCACAGTAGCAGGTCCACAGGTTTCGCATTCGGCTTTGTCCGCCAACGTCCCAGACAGTAAGGGAAAAACTCTTTTCCAGCTCGATCATCTCCACATTGAAACCTATTGTTGGCATGGTTATAATATCCTGGCCAAACTTTAATTTGTAAAGGAGAGTAGACTTCCCTGCTGAATCAAGTCCCAGGAGGAGAATCTGCACTTGCTTGACTTTGGACTTTTTAGAAGCCAATAAACCCATTCCAGAGTTTCAGAGATCCTTTAAAGATGTTCTCTTTTTGGATAGAGACAATGCTTCTTCTCTTAAACTCACCAACATAAAGAAGGAAAGAAGGGAGAAGAATAACTTAATATTATGTACTGATAACAGGAACTTGCATGCATTTATATTGCGGCTTATCAACTTGATTATGGGCAAACCCTGTTTTATTTGCCATCCCAGTCAATCCTGAGGGACCTGCCAATGAGTAACCAGCCAATGTCATGGCAGCTCAAAGGGGAAATTCTTTGTGAGTGAGTAGGCCTCAGGAGGGGCCTGCAAGGGTAATGCTGTGGCTTGTTTTGCTTACAGTGGCTGAGAATCTAGAGATTGTGGAAAGTTCAGAGACATGCAGATGCATGTGTAAAAAGCAGAAAGAACATTACCATTGCGAGCAGTTTGTAGAATTTCTCTAGTTGCCCTTTTAATATTATCTCGGCTGTAAATAAGTAACCAGGCATCAGAATTTGAGAAGAGAAATTATCTTAATATGCACCAACAACTAGAGCCAAAGAGGAGGAAATGGAAGATTTCTACCAACTTTTGCAATCAGAAATTGATCAAACATGCAATCAAGACATATTGATTATAATGGGTGCCTGGAACGCAAAAGTTGGGAACAGGGAAGAAGTATCAGTAGCTGGAAAACATGGACTCAGTGAAAGAAATGAGGCTGGAGATTGAATGATAGAATTCTGCACATTCAATGATTTATTCATTGCAAATACCTTTTATAAGAAACATAAACAAAGGCTATACACATGGACTTCACCTGATGGTATGCATAGGAATCAAATCAGATTAAATTTGTGGAAAGACTTGCTGGAGAAGGTCAATATCAGCTGTGAAAACCAGGCCAAGTGCTGGTTATGGGACAGACCACCAACTACTCATATACAAGTTCAAGCTGAAGCTGAGGAAAATGAAATCAAATTCATGGGAACCAAAAATTGACCTTAAGTCTATCCCACTTGAATTGCAAAACCATATCAGGAACAGGTTAGAGGCCTTGAGCACCAATGAGCACAGACCAGATGAGTTCTTGAAGGATATCAAGAAAATTGTCCATGAAGAATGCAAAAGATCATTGCAAAGGCTGAAGAAGAAGAAAAGGCCAAGATGGATGTCAGATGAGACTCTGAATATTGCATTAGAGCTCTGAGAAGCCAAAGGTAAAGGAAGAAACCAATAAATCAAAGAGCTGAACAGAACATTTCAAAAGGCAGCTCGGGACGACAAAGCAAGATACTATAATGAAACATGCAGAGAGTTGGAGTCAGAAAATCAAAAGGGCCAAATTCGCTCAGCATTTCTTTTTTTTAATTTTTATTGTATTATTTTTACGTGTACCGTCAAATCAGATCTGACTGGTACAGGAGGAGGTTGTCCCCTCCTTCTCCAGCAGAGCATCTGGTGGATTTGAACCACATACTTCTGGGATTGCAGTGCAGCATCTTGCCACCAGAGCTCCCTTCACTCAGCATTTCTTAAGCTGAAGGAATTGAAAAGCAAATTCAAGCCACAGGTGGCAATACTTACGGATACTTTGGGTAGACTGCTAAATGATCCAGGAAGCATTAAAAGAAAATGGAAGGAGTACACAGAGTCACTGTATCAGAAGGAATAGGCTGACATAGAAGAATTTCATGAAATAACATATGAGCAAGAGCCTGTGATGGAGGAAGTTCAAATTGCTCTGAAGGAATTAGAAAAACAACCCAAAAAACCAAAACAAAGCTCCAGGGGTTGATGGCATACCCATTGACATAATTCAACAAACAGACACTGCCCTGAATGTGCTCCCTAAGTTGTGCCAAGAAATCTGGAGGAGAGCAAGCTGGCCAACTGACTGGAAAAGATCTATATTTGTTGACCCAACGGTGTGAGGAAATTATTGAACAATGTCATTAATAGCACATGCAAGCAAGATTCCGCTGAAAATTATCCAAAAACTATTGGAGCAATATGTCAACAGAGAACTGCCAGATGTGCAGGCTGGACTTAAAAGAGGTCGTGGTCCTAGGGATATTATAGCTAATTTTAGATGGACCTTGGCAGAAAGCAGAGAGTACCAGATCACAAGCAGCTATGGCTGACTCTGAGAAGAAAGGGAATCCCAGAACATTTGATTGTGCTAATGCGAAACCTATACTTGGACCAAGAGGCAGTCGTCAGAACAGAGCAAGTAGATACTACATGGTTCAAAATCAAGAAGGGGGTTCGTCAGGAATGTATTTTGTCTCCATACCTTTTCAATCTGTATGCAGAACAGATCATCAGAGACCCTGGGCTGTACAAGGAGGAATGTGGCATCAGGATTGGTGGAAGAGTCATCAACAACCTGTGTTATGCAGATGAAAACCCTGCTTGCTGAAACTGAGGAGGACCTGAAGCGCTTGCTGCAAAAGGTCAAGGACTGCAGTCTTCAATATGGATTGAAGCTCAACATTAAGAAGACATGTCTCTGTAGATGTTCATTGAAATGAAAAATAAACAAACTAAATTAAAAAAAAA